CATAAAATGTGTGTATGTATCTGTCTGTTTAATCTTTTTTCACCAAAATGGCATAAATTACTTTTATGTAGTGTTTTTGTCGCATTTTAAGTTTGCAATATGCAAAGAAAATCCTCCTGATTTTCTTTGCATATTTTGTGTCAATGAGCACCAGAGATCTTCATGACAAAACGTCAAAATAGACCATAGACTGTAAAAAACGATGGACGACACACCTTCACTCTCTTCCACTGTAGAAAAGTGAAGTCCCAATATGGCCAGCACTCGCGCAGAAAATGGTTTACTGCTAAACAACTCATGTCGGTGTGAAATAAACTGTTGAGAAAATGTAGAAACCTCCAATCTCCTCCCGAAAATCCCCCAAAATGTGCTTTGGTGCCTCAGTGACTACTTTGTTCAGAGAAGCTGTCAATCATGACGTCGAACTCCCGTTTTTATAGCATCAAATAACTAACTAAGACCATTTACATTAACAGAACACTAACAAGTATCAAGTAAATAATAGTTTATTATGGTAACACTTAATATCGTTTAATTTGCTAACAGTTTTGATTAATCTTAGTCAGTGTTAATCTCAACAATTACTACATTTTTTTTGTTAACATCAGTGGTGGAATTTTTACTTTGTTTATTTTTCTGTTGGGAAACTTTTACTTTACTACATTCCAAATCATAATATTGTACTTTGTACATAAAAACCTGTCGTGACTCATTTTTTTGAAATGAAGAAATCGTCACCCGCTCAAAGATTCGATAGCGATGTCCGATTCATGAACGTGCTCATTATTTTCAATTGACCCTTTCTCAAATCACACTGAACGATTCACTCATGAATTGGACCGATCCGATTGCAGAGTGTAAGAGTGTAAGTACATTAAAAATCAAGTACTTTTACTTCTACTAAAATCAAAGAGTACTAATTACTTTTACTCGAGCAATATTATGTAAGGCTATCTGCCGTACTCAAGTACTTTATTGATGCATTGTGAGCTATCATGAACATGAACATTTTTATTTTTTAACATTAGCAGAGGTTAATAAATTCAATTCACATGCTGTAAAAAATATATTGCTCATTGTTAGTTTGTTAAATGTTTTGTGAACATGATAGCAAATATATCTATATTTTTCAGAGAGAGAGAGAGAGACATAGAGAGAGAGAGAGAGAGAGCTGTGCACGTGTTTGTCTGCCACTTATATCCCACCATATGCTCTGCTCTGACACTATTGAGCTGACCTCCATAGCACAGTGATATCCGCTGGTATTGAGCTTGGTTGTCACTGCAATTCATGCCTTAAAACCTAGTGAGCCTCTCAGCTCACTGCCAGAAAAACAAACCTTTTTCATAAAAACTATACAAGTTTTAGTTTAAGTTTTTCCAGAATGTAGATGAGGAAGTTAAAGTCAGCAAGAAATAGAAAAATCACTATTCACTTGTACCTGCATTATATATTATATGTTTTTGATATTATTATGATTCATCCATGCATACCCTTACAAAAAAATAAGTATACTTCAAGTTCATTTTAAGCACTAAAGGTCAAGTATATTTATGTATGCACGACTGCAAATGGAGTTTTAATTTGTTTTTACAAACCGAAATCATTTTCTGTCTGAAATCATCAACAACAGATTCCGTAATTAGAGTTTAAATTCTAATTATCCTGGATTAATTTTTTATCCTCAGCTTTCTATGCTAAGAATATGGCCGAGTTAAAACCTCCATTGACTGAGCGGAAATAATCTTCTGTAATTCCACCTGAACTAGTATCAAGATTACTCCAGGGTTTTGTCGTTCCCTGTTATCTTAAAGGGATTTGAGGCAGAGAGGGTTTAATTAACCACAATGTGACACACAATAGTTCTGGGATATGAAGATTTTGAAGTGGTCAACAGTAAGAGAAGATTTGAGAGCCATGCATCACTGCTCTTTAATATGGACGGAGGAATAGAGATAATGCGTTTGACTCTTTGCGTGCGCAGTTCAAGAGCAGTGATGTGTCAAATAACCTGTATGTTTTAGCAAGAATGAGACCGGTTTCATTGCAAATGGATTGTGAAGAAATCACAGGCTGTTTTTAGATTGCATTAGCAGGAAAAGTGCATAATAAATGCTACTCTCTTGTCTAATACCATGATTTTTGACATGTTTTGACCAGTAATTCACAGCATTAAATAAATACTTTGTCAAGTCATAATGCAAATACCAAGGATTGAATAAAGCAATCATTCGAAGTTTTAAGAATAAAACAATTTAAAAACACAACAAAATTCATGAAACACAAATGTAACGACCAGGAGCAGAATGTACAGAAATTTAAAACCATCATTTTGGCCAACAAAGACATAAATGTACAACTTTTAAAACATGGTAATGGTAATTAGCCCTAGATATAAATGTGACTAGTTCTTAATGATTCTCTATTTTGTCCCTCTTAACCTTGTTTTGGTTGTGTTTCAGCTCTGCGTGACTGTGCAAGAAAGAGATTATCCTACTGCTCGTAAAACGTTCACTAGTAGGCTTAAGAGATATAAGCAGTTTAGATGGAAAGGATCTCCAGCCGACTCGCCGAATACATTACTGTTGCTTTACCCATTAATAGACACGTTACTTCCTTGAAAATAAATTCCACCAATACAACAACATAATGAAATGACCCTTCGCAATAATGTTTTATAATAATAAAGTAAGAAAAAAAGCCTCAACATTTCAATTCCCCCAGTTTTCGCCATCCACGAAAAGCCAAGCCAATTTGGATTCTTGTTTTACGAGCTCTGTCGCGTTCTCTTTTCGCGTCTTTTCAAGATTTAGCTGCTTTACGTCCACATCTCTCGTTGTGACAACTAACTTATGCCAGACCATACGATATGACGAGACATGCATTATGGGTGAGTGACACGTGTGCGCAATTTCACACAAAGAAGGATTGATATATTTACTCGTTATTTAAACTTTAATTTTGACCAAAAAAGTTACGTAGTTTACCTTTAATATCCCCACATAACGAAATAACTCCAACCTTCAACTAGTAATAAAGTAATAAATCTTCGCAAAATGTCAACTAGCCCAGCAATATATTCAAAGTTGGATTTATAGATTTATATTTTTATACTTAACCCCTAGGTGCTTCAGAGGCGTGCGACCTCCGACATATATAATATAGCAATTGTATAGCAATAATATAGCTAAATGAATAAATGTAATTGTAAATGTATACATTCAGTACGTTCAAGAATCCATGCAGTACACTTATGTAAAGCAATATATACTATATAGCAAATGCCGGCTACTTTATTGGTTATATAGTCGGAAAATGTTAGCTATATTATTACATAGCTCTATATTAAGTTTGATATTTCCAACTTCCTCTACAGTACTCGCATAAAGCGATATATAGACCAATATACTAAATATAGCAAATCTCAACTGCTTGATTGTTCATATCACTGTGAAATGTAAAAGTATATTGCCCGGCTTTAATCTGATAAATGCAACAATTTAAGATATTATAAACATTTACACGATTTTCTGTAAAGCTGCTTTGAATCAGCATGTGTGTGTAAAGTGCATACAAATAAAACTGATTTGACTATAGCGCCGGCCTCACATTTATAAAATATACAGTTTATTCTCTTTATTATCACCAGACAGTGCAAGATCTTTATTATGATTCCTGGTTGAATGTATAAAAGATTTGCTCACATAAATAATTGACACAATATTATATTTTATTTTTTAGAATAGGCCTAGTCCTGTTAGTTAAAGGGTTAGTTCACCCAAAAATGAAAATTAAGTCATTAATTACTCACCCCCATGCTGTACCAACCCCGTAAGACCTTCGTTCATCTTCGGAACACAAATAAAGATATTTTTGATTGAATCTGAGGGCTGTATCACTCTTCCATAGACAGCCTGAGGGACTGCCTCTTGACGGCCCAGAAAGTCATTAAAAGAAAAGGTTTAAATATTCCATGTGCCTACAGTGGCTCAACTATAACTTTATCAAGCGACGAGACTACTTTTTGTGCGAAAAAAAAACGTAAATAACGACTTTATTCGACTTTCCATTACTTCCTTATGGGCGCATGCGCGAGAACTGAGACGAGACCGTTCTTCTTCGACTACTTTTTGTTACCGGCTGCTCACCACTTAGGAGTTTTACCGCCCCCTACCGTATAAGATGACGTACTGCTTGTAAACAGAACGTTTTGCGCCTCCGGCTATATCAGTACGTCATCTTATACGGTAGGGGGCGGTAAAACTCCTAAGCGGTGAGCAGCCGGTAACAAAAAGTAGTCGAAGAAGAACGGTCTCGTCTCAGTTCTCGCGCATGCGCCCATAAGGAAGTAATGGAAAGTCGAATAAAGTCGTTATTTACGTTTTTTTTTTCGCACAAAAAGTAGTCTCGTCGCTTGATAAAGTTATAGTTGAGCCACTGTAGGCACATGGAATATTTAAACCTTTTCTTTTAATGACTTTCTGGGCCGTCAAGAGGCAGTCCCTCAGGCTGTCTATGGAAGAGTGATACAGCCCTCAGATTCAAAGATGATGACCGAAGATGAACGAAGGTCTTACGGGGTTGGTACAGCATGGGGGTGAGTAATTAATGACTTATTTTTCATTTTTGGGTGAACTAACCCTTTAATTCACAGGAGGTTTGAGACCTATAAACTGCTAACTGGCCTTTTTTTTTGTCTAGACCCGTTCTGAAATATAGCCCCCTTGATGTGACAGACACATTTTTAACCCAAAAAATCATAAAAAAATGTCCATGTCACCTGTCAATTATAGGCCTACCAATGACATTGCTTTAGTAAACGCAGGAGCTTCATCATCACCATAATTATTAAGGCTATAAAAGTAATGCAGATGGCCATAATAATTCATCAAGTGCTGAAACACCATCGCACAGATAACATGATCCTCAGCGCACAGACTGGAGTGAGTGAGGGAGGGGCGGAGTCACTGTTCATCTGATGCGGCGCGGCGCGAGCGGCACGTCAGCGTCAAGTCAGCACTTCAGCGCGCTCATACGGAGCGACAGAGAGGAAAGCGAGCTCCCTACGCCGGCAGTTCGCGACTCACATCTGAAACTCGTCAAATCATGGATTCGGACGCGGGTTGTTGTCATTTCGGATGAGGCTTGTGCAACTTCACGTCAAATCACGGTTTGCTGCTGACAGCCCCGCCTTGTGACACCTTGCGCACCGACACCGGCTTTCTACCTTATTGGCGGATTTCAGTGCGACTGCTGTGGCTGGTGCGTCCGTGTGTCGCGCGCCGGGCTCTGGGCTGAACGCACGCACACGCGCGGATCATGGATAGATAGCGCGTTTCTCTCTCTGCGTTTGTCGGTGTTATCAGCGATGGATGAGGAAATAGACACCCGCAAGATCAACAACAGCTTCCTCCGAGACCACAACTATGCAACTGAAGGTAGGGTACTATATCTGATCACATGATCTCCTCCTCTCAGGTGTAGGCTAGTCAGAAAAATAACAGAAGGAATTGGGATTTGGCTTTGGCTTAAAAAAAATGACTATAAACTGATTTTTATTTAATTAGTTTGGCTATTTATTGGGAAAAGTGAATAAATTGGATTTTAATTTCATCCAGGAGATGCTTAAGATCCTTTCTTCTAATATAACGCAACAGAAAACGGAATATTTTAGTAGAGCTCAATAAAGAAGACATTAAAAATCTAATTAGGAGTTACAGTTTATGAAGCAGGATTTTCTTTGATCCCATTAGGAACGGTGCCAAATTATGATGGAAATCCTTTTAGCAACTCTGCTCATGTCCTTTTTGTAAAGTACAGATGCATATAAGCATGTCAGTCATGTTGGCATCTTCCTTGTGTAGCACAAATATAATGATATTAAACACGGATTGTAGTGTTTTATTCAAGCTAAAAATAGCTGAGCAGTCTGACTAACACCGTAAGAAGATTTTCTGGTGGTTTAGTTCGTCCAGCTCCATCAGTGTAAGAGCTGGCAGTTTAGATATGTGCAATCTTTGAATGTGGACTAAAACAATGTAGTATATCTATTTTTGTGAATATCAACCAGCTATTCAACTTTAATCAGTTCAGAACCTGGGACTTTTAATTAATTATCCAACATATACAGTAAGAAAAACTAGATCTTTTAGAAATAATACCATATCTTTATGAGGTAAAGTTCATACAGTATAGTCATAAAAGATGCATTTAGGATTGGTTCTAATTCAAATGATAATGGAATCTTGTACACATTCCAAATAAATACTTCAGGCATTTCTATAGAATCATCGACTAAAAGGAAATTTACTATTTAAATTGTCCTTTTTTTTACAGTTAGAAACATGTTTTCCATTGTGAATTGTTGCACTACTTGTCTTCCAAGTGCAGCCAGTGCAAACTGTAGATTATATTGACAGTATAAAGGCATTCTTCTTCTCTGACAATAGACAGCTGAAGAGTTTCACTGAGCCAGACCCTCCTCTCATGCACAGACAAGAAGCATTCAATGGGGGAGAGAGACGGAGAGAGGGTGAAGGGAATAAATCAGAGATTAAAACCAGAGAACACGTAGTCAGATGTGATGTCATTCCAGCTGCGAAAATCCAGTGTTTAAGAGTATTCATTCTTAATGAAATCAAAGTGGAAACTTTCTTAATCCACATTCCTGCCTTTTTATTTATTACCAAAAATAAGGGAGATTTATTCATTGTATTTTGGGTTAAAATGAGCATCAAAATGCTGATTTGGTAAATTTCTATGTAGAATTTGTTAAGCTTTTGGGCTAAACGTATTGACGTCAAAGCTGCATGGTTTGACATTTATTTTCTGTTTTGGAGCATTAAAAGGATTGATTGCATCTGTGTGTACTTCACCCACTGACCTTAGATCAGCTCCTGTCGTCTGGAGAATAGAATCTACTACATGCTTCTCATCATCCCTAGTTAATTCTCTGTGAATTATGCAAGTGCTCCCCTCTCATCCATCACTTACAGCCCTTGTTGAACATGCATCTGATGTCCAAACTTAGAAGGAGAGTCAAATGATTAAATCATGGACTATTCATAGCATAGAATCTATTTTTAACTTAAAAAACAAACAAACCTGTAACTCTAAGAATACAATTGTGTTATTCCAATCCAAACCCATATGACTGTACTGGTTGCTTTTCTCCATTAATTCTCCGTTGCGTTCATTTTTAAGGTTTGAAAATTAAGCAAAAGCACCAAAACGATAAAAACTATCATTAAAATAGTTGTAATCAGATGATTTGTGAAGTCTTCTGAAGTCATAATTGCTTTGTGTGAGGAACAGACTGACATTTACATTAATCTTCTGATAATCTTCCCTGGCAGTGAGGACTGTAACTAGATTGAGTTGAAGTTCAATTTGTTAACTGGATCAACCGATTCATTGAAAAGATGTGATATTACTACTTCTATCATATGCTCTTGTGGATGCACCAAGGAGTTGGATGTCAAAACTTTTATTAACAATAAGGGTTGGGCAATAAATTGGAAAAATGAGCAACATCATGATAATGGCTGCTGTGATTGGTGTACGGTGTGTATTGCATCGTTACATTTTAGGTTTACTTCCTCTAAAAAACTCTAGAAAACTGCGAGTTGGCATGTGACTGTGTAATATTTTCATGTTGTGATAATTGCTGAAGCTTTTATCACTGTATAATGTATTATCACGATATTGAAGTTGCAAAAAAACGTATTGTGACTTTTTTCTTATATCAAAAATAACTCTGAACATCACGCACAGCCTTGTTTTCATCCACGTAAAATTCTAACCTAAATAAGGTCTATTGCATGGTAAAAAGCATCTAGGACAGTATTTAAAAAAATAGAAAAGACATTTTTACATGATGTTAGTGATGATTTTAATTTTTTAATACATTTTTTACCACTCTACAGACAATGAGCGATGTGGCGTCGTGTTAAGTAGGAATGTGCTCTTACCTTTCTCAATAGAATATCATAAACACTTATGCTGTGTCCGAAATCACCCATTACTCACTATATAGTGGACTATATAGTGAGCTCGCCATTTTGTAGTGCTGTCCGAATGTATAGTGATGATTATTATACCCTACATAGTCCACTCAATGTATCCCAGAATGCATTTTGAAAAGTAGTGTACAACCGATGGTCACTAACCTAAGCCCTACATACCATCATGCATTGCGCGGATCGTAAAAATACGTTATAATCATGTGTGGAGTAGCGCATTATAACAGAAACGGACAGAAATTACTTTTAGCTTTGAAATTTTGGAGAAATAAGCTCAATATAATGTAATGTATTTATTTTAAAAAATCTATTTAGCCAGAGCCGGCTCGGCACCAGCTGACAGATGATGTAATCAACGGCGCCAAGACACGATCGAGTAGTGTCCGAAAGTGGTGTTTCTATTATGCTGGTGAGCTCACTATATAGTGCTCTACTCCCTACCCCATATATAGGTTTGAGTGGAGATTTCGGACACAGCATCAGTGTTGGCTTTTGATTTGGTTCGGTAAATATATCTTCGCTACCACAGTACGTACAATGATTGAAACACCAGCCATTGTTAATTGTCTTGAGCAATGTTAAAGCGTCAGAAAGCTGAGATTTTGAAGCACTCTTGCCTAGAATTAAAATAGCATTTACAGCTGACTCTGGGTAATGGGACAATAGGGAAAACATCCAGAAGTCTCTGAATGTAGCCTTTTTTAGCACATAGCAATATCATTTGCAGAAAACAGACATTACACAACATTCATTACCAGACTCAGCTGTGAAGAGCTTAGCTTGGCTAGTTAACTACCATCATACTGATGCCTCTGTGGTATTGACAATCAGATAAATAAATGATGACCTATGCATTTTTAAAGCACCCGTGTTTATCCCTGCTACGCCCTGGTCCACAAGGGTCTGTGAGCATCTTTGAGCAGGGTAGACAACAACTGAGCATATATGCACCATGAAATAAAAGCCGTCACTATAAAAGCAAAGGTGAAACTAAACTAAAACTGAAATGTTGACAAACCCATGTCATTCAAGACCTTTTAACCTCAGTCACTGAGAGATCGAAGGCGGTGTTTTCTAAATCACAGCTGAGCAGACAAAACAACCCAGTGAGTGTTTAGTCTGCGGTTAAATAATAGCGCACCATTCAAAGACATTGCCTTAAGCTCAGACATCTTATTTTAGTCAAGATTGAAATTAGTTGTCTGTGTATTTATCATGAGGTGAACCACAGTGGATCTGCAGGAAGATCAGCGTTGATCTGCAGAGTTAGACCTGGTCAGGCGCACTCGAGAAGAAAGCAGGGTCACTTGAAGTGCGTTCCTTCTCTAATTTGATCTGAGTCTTATCTGGCGCATGATTTAATGACTCGTAAATGTAAGCACACGTTGATGGCCTAAGACATGAAACGAGCGGTTTGTGTGAGAAAACGAACAGTATTTATATCGTTTTACCTCTTGTAACCACAGCCATGTCCAAGAGGTCTGAGGGCGCGGGTGCTTTGGTCTGCGCAAGCACCGGAAGTGACCTCTCGCGCGGTTGCGAAAAAAATTCAATGTTGTTTGTCTGTTGATATATCGAAATCGTATTTCATTGCGATTTCCTGTATATCTAAATCGGTTTAGATCTTCACAGTGAAAGGTAAGACTTCCGAAATTTCTGTGTAAACAATGAGTGACGTACACACGAGAGATCACTTCCGGCGCTTGCGCAGACCGAAGCACCCGCCCCCTCAGAGTACTTGGACATGGCTGTGGTAATGGTAAATGGACTGCATTTATATAGCGCTTTCATAGACCTAATGGCCACCAAAGCGCTTTACATTTGCCTCACATTCACCCATTCATTCATACACCGACGACGGTGTCAGCCATGCAAGGCGCCGTCGGGAGCAGCTGGGGTTAGGTGTCTTGCTCAAGGACACCTCGACACTTGGTCAGGTGGAACCGAGGATTGAACCACCAACCTTTCGGTTCATAGACAACCCACATGAACCATTGAGCCACTGCCCTTTTTTACAAGAAGTAAAAACTATATAAATACTGTTAGTTTTCTCACACAAACCGCTCGTTCGTGTCTTAGGCAATCAATGTGTACTTACATTTACAAGTAAGTGCATGCTTTTTGAGGTGGTGACCATAGACCTCCATTATATGACTGACAAGAACGGTTTGACCTAAAAATGTCAAAATTGAAAATACTGCGGAAACGAAGACACCTACATCTTGGATGCCCTTGAGGTAAGCTAAAACATACCAAAAATTATTTTCAAAGTGAACTATCCCTTTAAGATGTTGCTTGTTCGAACAGGAATGATGCAGTAGTCCATTAAATGGTAGTTGTAACCAAGTACCTTTTCTACTCCCAACAGTCCCTCTTGTTATTACACCATTACTTGATGGAGACCAGGGAGACATTAA